AATGAAATAGTCCTTGTTATCAAGATCCTTATATTCTGTCAAAGGCAACCAAATATATACATAAAAGCAAATAGAAAATATATACAAAATACATGCAAAGTAATTTTTGTGGGGACACTTCCAGCGTGTGTTTGTGTGTGTGTGTGTGTGTGTGTGTGTGTGAACAGAATCAAGAAAGGCCTTTTTAGAAAGTAACAGATGAGTTGAGCTTTGAAGAAAGCTAGGGATTCTAAGAGGTGGAGGTGAGGAAGCAATAAATATTAAGCATTGGGTACTGCCTGGGTGAAGGGATGGCAATGGGAGAGCTGGAATGTCATCCATGAGTTTGGTATGTGGTATAGAATATATGAAAGTGAGTACTGTGAAATTAGTTAAGAAATTGAGAAAGAGAGAGAGAGAGAGAGAGAGAAGAGAGAAGAGTGAGCAAGCATTGCAATCCCATTCAACAACCATCAAAGGTCTACCATATCTGACTTAAAAAAAAAATTCTATTCAGGTCCTTAATTTTTTTCTTGTTTACTTTTTGGTTCAATTTGTCTGGATCTGAAAGGAGTAAATTGAGGTCCCATCTATTATAATTTTATTGTCTATTTCATCCTCTAGTTAAGCTTTAACTTTATTTAGATACTATGCCATGTGGTGCATATATTAAGTATTTAAATTAATTCATCACTTCTTAGCATAATGTACACCTTTTTAGCATAATGTAGTTTTCTGGTTTATTTCAATCAAGCCTATTTTTGGTGTTTTGTCTGTGAGCTTAATACCATTGCTTTTTTAGTTAAGCTAAGCTATAGATTTTTCTTCAGCCCCTTATTTTTATTTTATGTGAATCTCCACTTAAAGTTAGTTTCTTGTAAATAATATATTGTTGGGTTCTACCTTCTAATCCATTCTTCTATCCTTTTCTGTTTTATGGGTTGAATTCATTCCAGTCACATTCACAGTTTTGATCATTAGTTGTGTATTTCCCTTCATCTTGCTCTGTTATCCTTTTCTTCTCTTTGTTTTCCACTCCCTCTTTACAAAGAAGCTGGTGGTTCAGCGTCAGTGCTTTGTGCTTGATGCAATCTACTTCTGCTCCACTGTATCTCTTCTCTTTCCCTTGCCTAGACACCAGTCCCAAATTCCTACCCTTTTCTCCTTTTCTTTTAACTTTTTCCTTAAAGTTTCCTCCTGCCCGTGTTTCATGGAAGTTTTATTTTTTTTTCAGGAGGTAACCAGTGGATTCTTTCTGTTTTCATGTTTCCTACTGGATTTCTTGAAATATGATGTCCAGTTTTTTTGGTCATGGCTTTGAGGTAGTCCATGATTCTTAAGTGATCTCTCCATCTATGTTCCAGGTTAATTTTTTTTAGATGTGATACCTTATATTTTCTTCTATTTTTCAGTATTTTGTCTTTGTTTTCAGTATTGTTTTCTCATAGTAATTCACTTTTATTTATTCTACTCTAATTTTTAAAAAGTTTGCTGTGGATAAGATTTTATACCTGTTTTGCTAAGCTTTAATTCTCCTTCTAAATCTTTTCTCACTCTCATTTATTTTTCCACTTCTTTCCACTAAGGATTTCATTTCATTTACAAAATTATTTTAAGTCTTTAAAAAAAATCCCAACAACTTTCCCTTCATTTCTTCTAGGAATTCTAGCTGATCTTATGGACAAGCTATACTTTCAGCACACCCAGAGTGGTCTGATTCAGAGTGAAATCTGATCACTGTCCTCTTGTCTGGGCTTTGCAAACTCCTGGCCTCAGTTAACAATATAACTGTGGGCTTGCCTCTGGTTGGAGTTCCTGTAGACTGCTGCTGGACTCAGCCACTGTAAGCTAGCTGGAGAGTTATATAGGGTTAGAGCAACAGAATTGTAGACTAATCTCTGTTCTGAGTTCTCTGGGCTGGTTGTTCAGCTACAGGATTAGAGTTGGAGTTGTAACCACTGAGATAATGCTCAGTTCCTGATTCTTTCCTAGTATAAAGCCTCAGGTCTGGAACCTCTTTGTCCTCATCCACCACTCCTCTTCATTCCACACTGATTTTGTGACCTAGTTTTGGGGTATGAATTACAGAGTTGCCAGGTGAAATCTCTTCCTTATTCATACTCTGTATCATACCCATCTCTGCTTGTTTTATAATCCCTCCAGTCCTCTGTTCAGAGTGCTGCCATAGTGGAAGGCTTCTTATGGTACTCTTTTAGATAGGCTCTGTCCCTAGTGTTTATGGATCTATCCCTGTCTCCTTATGTATATCCGCTGGAAAAGTGACATTTATTTTCCTTGCATTTTTTATTAGGACTCTGGTGTTTTTTAGGACTTTGTTGGAGGTAGTTGTGGGGGGAGAAAGGGAGTTAGACAGTATATTGCTTCTTCCTCTGTCATCTAGGGTGGTCTTCATTAATTTTAGACAAATAACATTTAATTTTTTTTATATGTAGAATAACTTATTCTGGTTCACAGTTTAGTAGTAGAGTAATGAATCACATTAAAGTCTACTGACCCCAGTAATCTATCTACTACATTACTCAAAGCCCAAAATTTTTAGGTATAGGTATAACTTCATTTGTTCTGGAGAGTGGTCAACAATCTTTTCAGTGCTGAATACCAGAAACCAAGGTGAGCAATCTGTAGTTGCTACTCTGTGGCCTGAAAAATAAAGCAAAAAAAAATTTAAAAAGCAGAAAAATGGAGAAGGGGAATATAGGGGGAAGAAAAGAGGAGTATGATATGATTTCCTTATCTCCTTTTACTCTGTCAGTAATAGTCAATAAATCAGTCAATAAACATTTATTAAGCACTTATTATGTGCAAGATATTTTGATAAGTGCTGAGGATACAAAGAAAGGTAAAAACAGCCCTTGAGCTCAAGGAACTCACAATCTAATGGGGGAAGATAACACGTAAAAAGTAGCTGAAAAGTGGGAGTTGGGAGGGCAGGGAGGGAGGTCATTCAGTTCAGGGGCATGATGAATTTTTGTGATCTTGCAGGAAGCTGAGTTTCTAGAGACAATGATTAAGTCCAGAAGAGCAGCAAGGTAGGAAATTACGAAGTATCTGCCTTGGGACCCCCCTCCCTGAATGTAGGATCTGGGAGGAACTCTCCAATATCTATTACTCATCATATTCCTTCCCCTGGGAAGGCTTTCTCTTCTCCATTTATTGCAGAGGCATGATAAAAAAGAGAGCCAGTGTGAAGGAATGATATCTTTCTTTAACCATTTTAAATTTTGTCAGATTTCTAGGAAGAAAATCTGAGTTTTTGGTGGTCTCAGAGGCCAGAATTAGGACCAGTGGGTGGAAGTTACAGGGAAGTTTATTTGGATGAATATAAAGATTCTTTGTACTTATGCCATATTTTGCTTATCCCAGTATGGTTAACATCAGAGGTGTTAACTTTTGGCCTGTGGGCTGCTTTCTGTCTATAAAACTCCCTGAGTGCAGCCCTAACCAGATTAAAATGTAATTGGTAAATATTTAAGAAAATACATAAAAGTGCAATGTAGCATAGATAATACTGATTTGTGGTTTTCCAAATCAATGTGTGACTTGCAGGAATGCTGTTTCTATTTGACACCACTGGCTTGCATAAATATAATTTATTAGAAAAATATAATTGTATTTCAAATGATTAGTCATTTATTTTGCTTGATGACTTCTCCTATTGGTTCTCATCTCTTCTGTGGCATAGTGTAACAGTATCAGGAAGCTTAAATACATACTATCCATTTTTTTCTTCCTTAAAGTTATAGTAAGTTTATGCTCTCTTTTTTGTTTGGTCATTTTCATCGAGTCCAACTCTTCGTGACCTCAGTCTTTCTTTAGAGCTGCATTTTTATGGAAGTCCACAAGAAATTCACAATGTAGTAGAGGATTCTGTTCTTGTAAGGAATCAGTATTCTGCCATATATTTACTCATTTAAAGTTTTTTTTTCTATCTCTCTTAACTTCTTCCCTCCCCTACCCCTTGTAATTTTGAAAATTTTGTAGATTACATATAAGTAATTGTTTCCTTTGGGGGAAAAAAGCCTAATCTTATTTCTGAGAAACATTATATTTTAACTATATGAATTGGGAGGAATTTGCAGGTTATTTTCATAGTGTTTTCTGTAACTTCTATTAAAATAATTGTATGAAATTTTTTTGTTTCCATCTATTCCTTTTTTCTAAAGTTCATAAATTATTCATGTGAGCTACACCTTTTATCACTGTGTAGGATAGATAGCATAAAGAATGTTAATTGAGTTGATGGTTGAACTATTCTGTGTGTACTATAGTTTTAATTTCTTTGTAAACACATTTTTTCTTAGGTTTTGTTCAGGGATGTTCATTCTCTTTGAATTATTCCTAAAACCACATTATTTAGGAAATATTCAACTAGAGCTCTTAGTTGAACTGCATGAAAATTTGAAAGTGTAGAATGCTTTGTGTCTTTACTTTGATGGCTATATAAGTAGTATTTGGAAGATTTGATTTGTAATCATAGGCATATCATTGATATTATTATTCTAAACATCTAAGATTTTTTGGGGGGCATGATAACATTCCAAGACTATTATCTTCATTGAGACAACTAGGTATTGTAGTTGATAGAGTGCTGACCTGGGAGTCAGAAAGACGTGAGATTGAATCCTGCCTCAGATCTTTGCTAGGCAGGCAACTAATTTAATCTCTCTCAGCCACAGTATTCCCTTCTTAAAATGTGTATATAATACTAATCTTAAAGGTTTGAGGATAAAACCAAATAAAATTTCATATTTCTATGTATACATATTCATATATGTATGCATAAACATATATACATACATGTGTGACATATGTAAATATATGCATATATATGAAATTTTGTAAAACTTGAAGTCCAATATAAATGTTAGCTGTCATTACTGTTATCCCGTTATAGAGAGTTTACAGTCTCCATTAGTGAAGAGAGTGCTAATTTAAATTCTTGAAATACTGAAATCATTTTAATATGGCATTAAGACTAGCATATTTCTTTGTCCTTATAGAATATGCTGAATTCTTACACTGCAAAGGAAGGAAGTTTACAGATTTTGATGAAGTTCGTCAAGAGATTGAAGCAGAAACAGATCGAGTGACAGGAATGAATAAAGGCATTTCATCTATACCTATTAATTTACGAGTCTATTCCCCGCATGGTAAGTAAATCAATCCTCTTAAAATTTTTCTCAATAAAAATTGTTTCAGCATCATTTAGTGTAATAGTTCTTGTACCTATAATACATACTTTAAAATCCATAAACAGTAGGGTCCCTTTCTTGTGATGTACTTTGCCTCACAGATATAGTTATGTAAAATCAATGGCATGTGTTCATGGGAAAAATAAACCCTAATGGTTTTTCATCTACCTTTTAACTCCTTAGTTGGCTAACACAGTTTCTTCCTTTTCAAATAAAATTCTTTTGTGTTCCATACCGTTTAGGGTTTCTTATAAAAATGTCATATTCCCCAAAACCTAGCCAACAGCTCCTTCCAGCCCAGTGGATGTCTATACCTGAACTGATTAACACACATTTTAAAAAGTTCCTGGGTTTATCTTGAACTTTTGAAATCCAGGACATGCATTTACTGTGTACTTCAGTAGTTCTGTACTGGCAGAAGCCTTTAGTGTCTGTTGAATTCTCTGACTGAGTCTGCCATTACTGGATTTCCTTTATACTTCTATGCATCTCTATATTGTATGCCTGATACAGCAGCCATCATTCTGATCCATGTTGTCAGGATGAATTCATAAATTAAGCTTTTCCTCCACCTGTGGGAAATTTATTGCCTTGTTGGAAATAATCTATACTCAGAACTAAGTTGTCAGTGCCGCTCACTTTTATTATCTCTAATTCTCTTTCTAGTCACCTTTATTGCTTTACCAACTCTACTACATGATTGACATGGTACTCAATTATAATTTCTCAGTAACACTTGCCATATGTGCCAAATTGTGTTATATATACACAAAATGGTAACTGATTTGAGTAGAAGTCAAATCATCACTCACTCAGAAGTTGTTTTGCTCTCCCCAAATGTAAGCTTTAAGACTCTTGTATGTTTACCTGAAGATACCATGAGTGCTTGAAACAGCTTTCCATTTGACTAATTAGCTAAACATACTACAAATAACATATGGTGTTTGTGATGAGAAAGACAAGTCTTAGTCTGAGTGTTTTCACACCATAATGGATTGATGTTACATGGCAGATAACATATGCATATATTGAGTATTTTAATTATAATCCCTTCCCCCACCCATTTTGACTCTACTAATCCTGAAAGCTGTTAGGCAAGCAAATAAGTGTCTTTCAGATGATTTAAAAAATTGTTTTGGCATAACAATTATGGATTATTCACTTATTTCTGTTTAACAGTGCTACTCAGAAAGGAACGCTTTATATAATTGAGACCATTTTGACTTTTTCACTAAGGCATCAACTGACTTTATATGATCAATTTCCTTTGGATATAGAGCATATAAGTAAGACTCTTTTTTTTCTTGGTCTACAGTGTTAAATCTAACCCTTATTGACCTGCCTGGAATCACTAAAGTGCCAGTAGGGGATCAGCCACAAGATATCGAATATCAGATCAGAGAAATGATTATGCAGTTTATCACTCGAGAAAACTGTCTGATTTTGGCTGTTACACCTGCAAACACAGATCTTGCCAACTCTGATGCCCTGAAGTTAGCTAAAGAAGTTGACCCTCAAGGTGAGTGTTTGACTCTTATGGTAAGTGTGAGTTAGCTATCAAATTTCAAGGATACGAGCCTATATAAAGATGATTCAACTCAAATGGCTTTCCTTTGTTAATAATGCAATAATTTAGACAATATGATTGTTAATGAAAATATTTTTGAAAATTGACATTTCAGAGGCCAGGAGGAAAATTAAACAGTTAAGATAAAATCCTGTATCATTAAATATCATATCAATCAAGATATCTAAAAGACAAAAATCTCCAGCCTCAGCTTATAGTCTACTTGTTTCAAGCAGTTTTTGATTCAATACTATTCCAACAAAATAATTCAAATGGGGTTCATTATAAGAAGAACGGACCTATATGTTTTTAATAAAGAATTTTTAGTAATTAAATTTAGACTTGGGAGTCACTGAACATTTACAAAAAGGAAAGCCCCCCCCCCCCAGCTGCTAGTGCCATCATCTCAAAAATTACCTTGTATTTAGTAAGTATACATTTGTATGTATACATGTTTCCCCTGGCTTGGTTATAAATTCCCAGAGGGTGCCTGGCACATTGTAGAGATTTAATAAATAATTGTTGATTGTGTAACACCAGTTAGTTGTATTCACTGACAGCAAGTGATTTTTCTATTTTGCCTCATCTCTGCATTTTGAAATTTTAGCCAACACCTCTGTGAAAATTTCACTGAATCTTTTTCTTTAAAAGTTCTCTTCTCTTTCTTTGACCTTGCACACAGTACATTGCACTTCATATGTTAATTACTTTTAATCTGCATTGTAATTACAAAATAGTTAATCTATATTATTGCTTAATTATGTGCATGTCCTACCCCACTCCTTGATTGCAAACTCCATGAAGGCTAGAACGTATCTTAATATAATCATCTTTATTTTTCTCCAGTTCTTAGCATAGTGCACATGGTAGATATCTAATCAACAATTTTTTGAATGAATGTGTAAATAGAATGAATAAATAAATGAGGGAATTATTAGATTATTAGACCAAGGAAATACTTTTAATACAATATATCTGGATTTCAGCAAGGCATTTCATAAAGTCTCTCATGATATCCTTCTGTTTAGTTCAGTGTAATGAGTACTTATTAATTGTCTACTATTTATACAAGGCATTTGGCATTTGTATCAGGGAATTAAGATAGGAAGGAAAGGAGATCAGGCTTTCCTCTTCATATATATTTATATTTGCATACATTCACATATCTTTATACTCTGCTTCAATTAATGTCCCACTAGCCTACTTACTACACATGCTTATATACATTTTCTTATTCTAATGCAAAGAATTTCTTAACAAAAAATACAAAGACATATAAATATGGTTGTAGCATAAAAGCATCCATTGATTGATGCAATAATTTCCCAGGAACCATTTGTTTACCTCAACAATCCTCTACTAAGACGTTCTTTTAGGTAGAAAAAGTTGATAGGTATTTTTCTTCCGTACCTTGAATCAAACTAATTCAAAAGAAAAAAACAACAACGACATAGAAAGATTCCCTTCAAGACCAGGAGAACAAAAAGAAAGAGCAAACACAGATATTCTTACATGCATGAATGTTCTTTCTGTTAGGGAGCATCTCCCTGAAGTCGGATGTTTGTACTGTCATTGTTTGATAGGAATGAAAGGGGAATCCAGTTCTTTACCAAGCAATATATATATCAATAGATACATATTGACAGCACCAGTATTGGTTAGTGGAAAGTTTAAATAATACAGGTAGCTATTTTTACTTGCTAAAAATGTTTTATTCTTAATAAGGAGAAATGACTTTTCTAACTCTAAATAGCACAGTAATCTCCCTTCATGTGGAAACTGCAACTTCTCTGGCTGGTTATTTTTCTAGACTGATTGCCTCAGAAGTATGGTGGGAAATAGGAAACGACTGTGAGTTTAGTAAGTGAAAGAAAAATTCTTTACTTTTTATTAATTATGTCAGTAGTTAGGTTAGTTACAGAAAATAATGTCTGAGGGCGTATGTGATCATTAAATCTACTTCCCATTGCTGCCCTTAAGAAAAGGAATTCCTATCATTTGGAAGGACTTTTATCTTGCCCATGTCTGGTTTTGAAATGTTTTCAAGGGAAAGTTACTGAAAGAGACCTTTTGGGATCCTTGTTCATTTACCATTCCTGATGCTTTTGAGGTACTCATTTAGCATTATGGTCTCCTCAAAAGTCAGCTAAAATGTGGGGTTCAGACCAGGAAGATCTGGAATGTAGAATGGGAGGTTATTTTGGGTGGGCATAGAAAGGTCTATATGTTAGGAGAAAATAGACAAATGGGGAAAGGCAGAAGACTTTATTTACTTATTTATTTACTTTTCATTTATTCATTCACTCATTTATTTATTTATTTAGGACATGCCAAAGCTATTCTTTGTCTGGTCCTTGTGACTTTAGATACTTGACCACACAGGGTACACCTTTCCTACAGGGTTTCAAACTTTAAGCCATTTAGGAAAATAAGCAATTTACGTAGGTTTTTTTTTCCAATGATGAAAGAGGTATTTCCAGTATTGTAGATTTCCTATCTATGAAGTATATCAGTAGGCAAATATAAGGACTTGAAAGAGCTCATATTTTATTTTTGTGCACAAATTGGAAGTATATGGCTAGATTAAAATATAGTTAGGTGGATCTATAACTTCTTAGATAAGTATCCCCAAAGAATATTGAGTAATGGATTGATACCAATCTGGAGGGAGCTCTCTAGTATGATATAACAGGGTTCTATTTTGCATCTTGTACTATTCATAACTTTTATCAATAATTTTGAACCATACAGAAGAAATGATTACTGTATTTGTAGATGACTTATAGCTGGATGAAATAAATAAGTGCTAGCTGATCTTTGCAGTGAAAGTAGGGAATGGAAAAAAATAGCTCACATTTAACTATTGACCTATATACCACAGAGTACCACAGATATAACATAGGAAGTGTGATAGGGAAACTCAAATGAATTCAATTTGCCTAGTAATCCATAGGAGAGAATATTCAGGGAAAGGGTGGCAATAATACTTGTAGCCCCAGATGTCTAAACATGAGTGGGTAACAGAGTGATCCTTACATAGATGTAAACTTAAGCTCATGTTTATCATTAACATTTAAGGAATTATCATTCATGACTAGAATATGGCAATGGTATGGTACGTTTTATTCTAAAAGAGCAGATTGGCTAAATCCATGAAACATAGGTGGGCAGTGGGCATCACTGAGAACATTTGGATAAGAATTAATGGAGGAATAAAGGAGCAGTACTGTGGTACAAGAAGGCATAGCAGACCTTCCATCCAGAAGACAGAAACGGACCTCCAAAATTGCTATAGAGGCAAGAGTATAGCAGTCATGCATGACAAAAAGTTTGAAGAGTTACTGGAATTCTCTCTCTATCTCATCAGCTGAGATATTCTTGACTTGCTTTACTGATCATTTTATCCTTTATAAGGTAGAGGAAATTATGAGAAGGACTGCTAATTTAGACTTGATTCTAGGTTTGACAAAAATTGCTTTTGCTCCTTTGCTCCTTTTGTTTTTCCCTCTCCTAGAGCCAAATTACAAGTTTTTATCCTTTCTTTACTTTTAAATCCCACTTTGTGGTCCATCCTCTATAGTTAGTGTTTGTTTTGCTTAGGACTAATCTTTCCTTTAATTTACCCTCCCTCATATTATCCTCTCCTTTCTTTCCTGTCTCCCGTTTTACTGTATTTCTGTATCAAGTTGTTAGTATATTCTTCTCTCTTTAGACCAGTTTAGATGAGAAAATGAAGTTCAAATATTGCCCTTCTCATTTATCCATTCCTCCTTATTTGTATAGTTTTCTACTTCTGTACCTTGAGCATGTGAGATAACTTCCTTTATCCTTTTCCCTTTCCTGTCTAGGGTATTCTTTTCCCTCTCCTTTTCTTTCTTCTTTTAAGAGTATTAAATCAGTGTTTAGCACAGTGTCTGTTACTTAGTAAGCCCTTAATAAATTCTTGTTGACTTAATTCTTGGCTGGTCTCCATTGAACCTTTTTATGTTCAATTTGACTGTAGAGTTCCATGCATTTAATGACAATCCTTTCAACACCTCACATAGAATATGCATGGTGTTCATTCTAAAAATAGTACCCTGGCTCAAACATCTCAGCACTAAGAATGTTATTATTCTATAAGTAATAAGTTGTCTTTCTTGTCAAGACCAAATCTTTCCCCATGCACACAATCTTGATCCCACCTCCTTCTAGCTTCTTCAGAAGATGCTCCCACTATTATTCTTATTCTTTTTCCTACCATTTCCTATTTCTATGCTGCCTGCAAACATACCATGTCTCCTCTATCTTAAAAAAAAAAGCAAAAAAAATCTCACTTGGTTCTACATACCTACTAGCTATCATCCTAACACCACACCTCCCTTTGTGGTTAGACTCCTTGACAAAGTCATTTATAATCCAAACCTTCACTCCATCTCCTCTAATTCTCTTCTAAACCCTCTACAGTATGAATGACCTCATCATTCAACTGAATGATAACATCCCTAAAGATATCAGTTATCTCTTAATTGCCAAATACAAAAGCCTTTTTTTCAGTCCTCATTCTTCTTGACCTCTCTGCAACTTTTGATGCCAGCTATTGATTATCTTCTTTTCCTGAATGCTCTTTTCTTTCTAGGTTTCTGTGAGGCTGATTTCTCCTGGTTCTTTTCCTATATATTTGTCCACTTCCTGTCAGTTTCCTTTGCTGGTTACTTATTCATTTCATGTCCACTAACTAAGACTCTGTACTTGCCCTATTCTCTTCTCCTTCTAGACTACTTATTTGGTGATCTAATCAGAATCAATGGGTTCAAATATTTCTATGCAGATAATTTCAAGAAGCACGTGCACATATACATACACACACAACCCTAATCTCTCTCTTAAACTACAGTCATGTATTACCAACTCCCTTCTGGAAATCTCAAATTGGACGCCCCAGAGACAACTGAAACTCAACATGTCCAAAG